AATTTGTTGATGGTGTAACAGTCTGTATCTATTTTTTTTTTGGAGCAATTACATACATACATCTTGAAACTTTCTGTTTACTAATCAATCGCTCTCTTTCATCCATTTTTCAAATTCATACTCAAATATCAAAATTCATCATAATACCTAGACCCAAATTTTTTATTTTATCAAATTCTCACTAGTTTGAGCTTCACACATAAATACATCGATTCAGTAGTTCGAAAAGATTACCCCAGTCGAAAGCCTATATGTAATTATCCCTTTTAAGCACTCTATACTCTAACGTGGCACCTTGATATTCTGTATTTTGCTTCTAATTAATGTGCTCCACATTTGATTTCTAGTTATTAATTATTATAATTTAGTCTAAATAACCAACATAATAATTATTATTAAAATGATACTATTATCATAATAAGTGATTTTGATTATTTAATATCCACTTGTGAACTTCAATTATTATTTTAAATTTAATTACTATAATAATAATAATAATCAATTACTTTTATTTTAAACATAGTTATCAAAACAATACTTCTAATTCTTAAAAATACAAAGATAAACAACGGCTACTTAAATAATTAACTTCATCATCTAATAACTATATATATTAAAAAAAATAATCAAAAAGATAATCACATTTATTATAACAATCACCAATAATAATATTTTTAATTTTAATAATTTTCTAAAAAGTAAATGAATTAAAAAAAAAAAATTGATTATCACTCATAAGAGCCATACTAAAGTTCCTAACCCCCTCACCTTCTCTCACTCCTCTGCACCCTTCATCAAAAAGCTCTCTGCTATTCTTCTCCGTTCCCCTGTGCCTTTTTTTTTTATCTCCATCTCCCCTGTTCCACCTGTGGATTCCTTCTTCTTTTAGCATCGCAAGGAAAGTTTCAGGTTCTTTCCTTCCGATTTGCAGCTCTAATTTGTTTATCTTTCTGAGCTGTGTGCGGAAGAAATAAAGGAGAGCGAGAGAGAAAGAGATAGAGGAATTAAGAAGAGATGGGTGCAGGTGGAGGACTTGTTGCCGGCTCAGGGAGAGAGTTTGTGGTTATTAATGCGGAGGACTCAGCTTGGAGGGTGAGTGCGCTAAAGAAGTCAGCTTGAAAAAAGTTTTTAAATTTTGTTGTTAAATTTTTGGTAGTGAATCTCTTCTACGTTATATTTATGTTCTAACACTTGGTTTTTCATATTTTTATACATTTGACACAGACACACTCTTTGTAATTGCATCAGTTTCTTACTGAGAGAAGTGGTTTATCTGCTTTATGAGTGATCAGTGTTATTCTTGTCTTGTCAGGGCAAACCTTTACAAGTATTAGGGGGCGGAATTTGCCATATTTGTGGAGAAGATATTGAGATATTGGAGATGAACAATATTAAAGAGTTTTTTGTTGCATGCAATGAATGCGCGTTTCCGGTGTGTAGAGCTTGCTATGAGTACGAGAGAAGAGAAGGCGATCAAGTCTGTCCTCAATGCAAGACTCGATATAAGAGACAAAAAGGTTTTTTTTTTTCTTTTTTTTTTTTCTAAATATTTACATACATACCCCTCAATTTATACGTATTTACATATCTAACTTCTAAACCCCATTTTTTACACAAAACAACTTATTTTGCTTTTTAAAGGCTAAGATGATGGTATTTTTGGTGTGATATGAAAGATTTGGGATGTATATCCTTGTTTTTATGTTTGGAGGTCTTAAATGCTGATATAAAACAATTATTCCAATAATTTAGAGCTAATTTTAAAGTGATATTTGGCTCAATATTGTGGAGATGTTTGTCAATTAATATTTAGAAAAATTTATATGCATACCACTTAATTCCTTTTAAAAGTTAAAATAGTAGTATGTTTTATGTGAAATGAAAAAATTGGGTAATATAGAAGTTAAAAATAAAGTTTATGTGCTGGATGTATAAATAAAGAACTGGTTGGTATGCATGTAAATGCCCCTATTATTTATTTGACTTGATCTTATAAGTTTGAGATATTAATGTCTGCATATTAAAACACAAAAAATATGATTGGTTATTCACAGTTCATTAGATGATTATTGTTTTACTTGAAATTTATTTGAAAATAAGAGTCAAGTAATTAACATCATCAATTTTTTTTTGAAAAATCCTAAATTTAAACTCCTGTTTAATACGGAGAGTACTCTGTTTCACAGGTAGTCCTCGAGTTGAAGGTGATGAGGAAGAAGACGAAGCTGACGATTTGTATCATGAATTCAGTTTCTGCGACGCAAATTGGAATATTGTCTCTGGTTCAAAGTTTAAGTTTCAAAATGAATCAGATTATTGGGGATCTTACAGTAATATTTGGGCTTGCAACTCTGATCTCAGTCATTCTAATTCAAAAACTAATACTAATATCCCTCGTCTAACTTATGGCGAGGTATAGAACTTATTTGAGACCTCTATACCTATCATTTTTTTTTTAATTTCGTTTCTTCAATCTCTCATGTTCTTATCTCTGTTTAGGTTGATAGTCGCGATCTTCATGGACTAATAGTTCCTTTATCTGTGAACTCAAGGAGTTCTATGGATCAGTTCATCTTCCAGGAATCATTGTCTCCTCGTAAGTTTATATGAATTTCTTCATATATATATATATATATATATATATATA